GAATGATGGCAGGTGAACAGGGGATACAGTACTGGTCCTAGAGTCAGGAAGACGCATCTTCCTGAGTTCAAATCCAGCCTCAGACATTGACTAGCTGAGTGACACTGGACAAGGCACTTCACCCTGTTTGGGTCAGTTTCCCCATCTATAAAACGAGCTGGAGAAGGCAATGGCAAACCACTCCAGCATCTTTGCCAAGAAAACCCCAAATGGGGTCATGGAGAGTCGGACGTGACTGAAACAACAGTAAGAAGAAAATTAGGAAGAGGGGGAGGACTTGGGGGGAAAGATAATGAGTTCAGTTTTGGACATGTTGGGTTTAAGATGTCTATAGGACATTCCAGAAATACAATAAGCATTGGGAGATGTAAGAATGAAGATCAGGGGACAAGTAAGGGCTGGATAAATAGATCTGAGAATGATTTGCATCACTGATAACAATCCATGGGAGATGATGTCACCAAGTGAAACAGTAGAGAACAGAAGAGATCCCAGGACAGAGGCCTGGAGAACACTCACAGTTAATGAGTGTAACCCAGTTGAAGATCCAGCAAAAGAGATTAGAAAGGAGAGATTAAACAGGTAGAAGAAAACCAGAAGATAGCAGTTTTACAAAAACCTAGAGACAAAAGTACCAAGAGGAGGATGATTAACAGGGTCATCAAGGCTGCTGAGAGGTCAAAGATGAAGAGTGAGAAAAGGTCCTTAGATCTGGCAATTAAGAGATTAATGATCTCTTAATTAATTAAATTTTGGAAAGATCATTTTGTTGAATGATGAAGCAGAAGCCAGACTGACAAAGATGTAAGAAGAGAATAAAAGAAAAGGAAATGAAGGCATCAATTGAAGATGGCCTTTTCAAGTTTAGACATGAAAGGGAGGAAAGATAAAGGATAGGTAGTGAGGATGAGGGAGATACAGACATATTTACAGGAGACAGTCAATAGACTGGGGAAAATCAAAGATTAGTGAGAGAGTGTGGATGATAGGAGCAATCTGCTTTAAAAAAAAAATGGGATAGGGGCAGTTACATGGCGCAGTGGATAGAGCACCAGTCCTGGATTCAGGAGGACCGAGTTCAAATCCAGCCTCAGACATAACACTTACTAGCTGTGTGACCCTGGTCAAGTCACTTAACCCCATTGACTAGTCAAAAAAAAAAAAAACCCACAAACAAAAAAAAAGGGATAGAATGGAATCATAGAGAGGGCGGTTCAGTTTGGCAATGAGAAAAGTCATCTCACATGAGACAGGAATGAAAGAGTAGGGGGAGGCATCAGTGATGTGGAGTGATGAAGAGAAAAGGTAGCTCTTGACAAATGTCCAATTTTTTCAGTGAAATAAGAGGTAAGAGAGTGGGAGAGTTGTGGCAGGTCTGGGAAGGAATAAGGAAATTTGGAAAAGTTGCTGCAAGTTGAATAATGAATTGTTCAGTTGTGTCCAATTCTTTGGGATGTCATTTCCTTCACAAAAATACTTAAGTAGTTTGCCATTTCCTTCCCCAGTGGATTAAGGCAAACAGAAATTAAGTAACTTGCCCAGGGTCACATGGCTAGTAAATATCTGAGGTCAGACTCGAACTCAGGTCTTCCTGACGCCAGTCCCAGCACTCTATCCACTAAGCGTGGATAGCGTGGCAGCACTAGCTACCTCCAAAACTTATAAAGAGGTGTAAAAGGATTGCCTTGCCACAGAGAAGGCCCAGTTGAGATTTACATAACATAAATTTGTAGTGGATAAACAGTATCGTTTCATGATTTTCTCCAGCTTCATTTGGCAGCACAAGTACAGGGAGTGAAGAAAGCAGATAGCAGAAGAAAGCCAAGACTGAGGATTGGCAGGGCAAGATTGGCATGAGGATAAAGTGGACAAGGGACTGCGAGAGTGTGTAACCAGCCAGTGCAGGGTTGATGGCCTGGGAAAAACTGGAGTGGAAGGACTGGAAGTTAAAGTGAGGATAGAATCAAATTAGGGGTTGCAAGGGAGAGGCAGAGGTTGGATGACAATGAATTGTGACCAGATAAGGGAATTTCAGAGTACATGAATGTGGAAGCGGAACATTTATGAGTGATAGCAAGATCAAGAATATGACCCATCTCTGTGACGCTCTGTCTCTGCGATGATAAGAGGTCAGGGAAAATGAGTAAACTGAGGAACCTTGAGAGTACAGTGTTTGATGGGCTATTGCTATGTCTAAGTCTCCTAGTACGATGGCAGGAGTTAGATAAGGGAGAAAGAGCCAGGTACTGAACTCACTGAAGAAGGGAGAGTAACCCAGAGTTCGGTAGATAAGTTACCAGAATCTTGAGTGACAAATACGAACTGAATGAACTTCAAATGAAGAGACGTCATTGTGTGATGGTGGCAGAGGAATAATCTGGAAGTGGCAATGGGGAACAAGGAACATACCAATTCACCTACCACCAGGTGAGGGTTGAAAGTGCAACCAGTTCTGGAAAGGGTGTCGGGTCTCAATGAGTGCCAAAGATGGAAGGAAGAAAGAAAAGGTTTAGGATGAAAGTAACAGTGTTACTTACAAAAAAAACATTCCAAAGAGCACAGTGGAAGGAATGGGTGGTTTTACAGTGGGAATTGGGAGTAGGGATAGGTTTAGTTGAGGGGATAAGAATATTTGAATAATAAAACAGTAAAGCTGGGAAGGATTGGGAGGGAAGGGAAGAGTATGACAGGGTAAGACTATATTAATTATTGAGGAATGAGTTCAGGTAAGCTATCATTATCTCTCAAAGTTCAGCCTGGAGTGGAGTTGTACAGAGGTGGAATTGTGGGAGGCTAGATTATAGTTATTTAAGTACCTGTTATTTTCTATTAGACTATGTCTCGAACACAGTAGACATGTAATGCTTGTCAAATGAGTGGAATTAGGAGTTCCAGTGGACCGCACACCCCAACAAATTAAAAGGCTATGATCTCAGGCTAAAGTCCAGACTTGTCTAGGTTATAAAAGAAGCAAGTGGCAGAGGAGGAATTTGAACCCGGGCCATCTGACCCCTAATCCAGCACTTTCTGCTATATCATCATGCCTTTTAGAGGACTATGCCCAGTGGTGGGCATCCTATTTTAAGAAATATATCTAGGATGCCTGGGAAGGTGAAGGGTCTGGAAACCACAAAGAGATGAATAGAGGATTCATTAAAGCATTTACTATGTGCAAAGAAAGCACTGTGCTAAGTGTGGGAGATAAAAACAGAAAAGACAGTCACCTTAGGGTGGTCACATTGTAATGGGGGAGAAACATTCATGCAAGGTTTCAGCGGCAAGTCAGATAGAAAAGTGCTATGGTCTTTAGGGTACAGCAGCAAAGAAAAAAGGAAGGCTTCTCCTTTCATGTCATTTCCACTGATGATATATCAGTTTCTGATGCTGAATCATTTGATAGTTCTAAAGACTTTGGTGACAAGAACTTTCTTTTCTGGGTCTTCAATAGATATGGCTATAAGACCTGCAGGAGCCATACCACATGAGAAATTAGTAAAGAAACTCAAGACAAGTGGAATTGTGCTAAGGGTTACTGTGAGGAAAAAAAGGAATGATAATTTTTAAACTACCCATTCAGGGAGTATAGCAATATATGGAAGTTAAAGGGAAGTCAGATGTTGGTTATATATCATGAGAACGTCCCAACAAGAAGAGTGATCCAACCATTCTCTTTCAGTTCTAAACCCCGAGATAATCTGGTCTTATCATATGTCTTAGATGGACTGCTTTGTTGGAATTAGTTGTTCATTTATCTGAAAACACCTACTTATGTGCAAAACAAGAGGCATCATGCCATAGTAGAGGGAGGAAGGACCTTGGAGTCATGAAGACCTGTAGGATTGGCTAACATGTCAGAAAAGGAAAATGGCAAATGCTAGAAGTGATGTGGAAAAATAGGAACACTAATGCATTGTTGGTGGAATTATGAACTGGTCCAACCATTCTGGAAAGCAATTTGGAACTATGCCCAAAGGGCTGTAAAACTGTGCATACTCTTTGACCTAGCAAGACCACTACTAGGTCTATAATGCAAAGAGACCAAAGGAAAACAGGAAAGATCTATGTAAAAAAAAATACATATTTTATATATATATTTAAAACATCTCTTTTTGTGGAGGTAGAGAACTGGAAACTGAGGAGATGCTCATCAATTGGGGAATGGCTGAACATATGATTATGCTATAAGAAATGACAAGGGAGATGAGCTCAGAAAAAATCTGATAAGACCTATATGAGTTGATGCAAAGTGAACAGAACTAGAACACTACACATAGTAAAAGCAGTATTATAACGATAATTAACTGTGAAAGACTTAGCTACTCGGATCATCGTACTGATGAAAAATGCTATCCACCTCCAGAGAGAACTGATCAACTTTATGCAGACTGAAGCATATTTTTTCTTTTTCTTTTGTTTTTCCATAATGTTATTTAATGTGGAAATATGTTTTGCATGACTTCATATGTATAATGGGTATCATATTTCTTGCCTTCTCAATGAGTGGGGCAAGAACTAGAGAGGGAGAGAATTCAGAACTGAAAATAATTTTTAAGAAAAAATTTTTTTAAATGCATGGGTTCAAGTCCTACCACTAACCTATATTAACTATATATATTTGGCAAATCATTTAGCTTCTCAGTACGTTCTATGACTTTAAGAGCAGAGTAATTCCAGATCTGCATTGGTAGAGAGTTTTGTCACCCAGAGTTCTGTAAAGGAATGAAATAAGAGTTCTAGACCAAAATGCAAAGCACTGTGCAAGCCGCTAGGAGAGGCTACAAAAATAAGACACAACCCTCTCTACCCTTCTAGAGTTTGTCCAGTTGAAGCAATAATAACACACACAAACATTATTATGGAACAACTCACACTTACAGAGCATTTAGGGTTTACAAAGCACTCCTTACAACTTTATGAGATCATCCTCAATGAGTTCATAAGTTCAAAATAAGTTATTAATAGAAAAACTTCTGTGAAATAAAATCCATGCACAACAAAGGTGATATTTCTCAAGTGTTTTATTCCCATCACAGTTTAGCTTACACTGAGTATCTTAAAAATATTGTACACAAAACATAATACAACAATTCCAAAGACAGTCTACTTTACCAAGTGAATGCCATCTCACGTGGTAAGTTAGTGTCTTACATTCCCATTTGTTTCATGGCAGCTCTCTCCCTCCAAAGGACTGAAACTTGTGCCAACTGGACTTTATTATTTTGGGGCATTAGAACAAGTCTTCCAGAAAAGCCACATTTGTGAAGGGGCCTTTGCATGCTACTGGCTATATTTTCCCCCAGTAAAACATGCTCAAAGATACCTTCCTAGCAGCCACTGAAAAGGAATCTACAACTACTGGCTTGAAGTCAATGACATTCTTGGGAAAAAAAAAAAACAAACATTGAACTGAAAGTAGCAGGCATATTCATCTACTATACAAAGGTCAACAAGAGAAGGAAGCAACTAAACAGTTAATGACGACAAAATAACTCTGAAAAGCCAACGGTTATAAGGGCTTCTGATGACAAAATCAGTCGTGGGAAGCTTCACTGCTCTGTCAAGTCTAAGCTCATAAATTATAATTCAAGTTCATATTTTGAAGTAAAAATTTACTCTGTCGTATTTTAAATTAGTTTTGCTTCGTCCATAAAGTATGTTTTAGATTCTTTTATGTAAAAATACTCAAATTGTTGTTGTGTGGTCTAAGAGCAACAAGAAAGGAAGCTTTTTCTATGAACAAAATTAAATCAGATCACATAAAGCAATGATGTGTATATGTTAATATATTTTCTGTGTATTTACAATAAATTCATTTGTTAATACTGTGACAGAAAAAGTAATGGACTAATCCACATTATGTTATAGAAACCAGGTTTTAAAGATGACCACATATTTCTAAATTTAAAAAAAATAATAATAATATAGGGTTTCTCTTGTTTCTAAAGTAGACTCTAATGTAACGACAAACTCCTGGGAAAATAAAACTGACAAAACCTTGTGGAATGGCAAAGCCCAGAATCAGAGGCATTGCAAACAAGCAGCAAGCAGCGAGCAGTTTTTTCCAGTGCTACCTAATTAGAGTTGTTACCATTTGAGAGACAGTGTTCTTTTTTATTTGGTGGCTTAAGACAAAATAAAGCACTCGATTTGAAAACTGCATTGATCTAAAGCAGCCATAAACAAAAAGCTACCAATTGGGTACAAAAAACATAGCCTTGGAAGTATAACATGCACTAAAATGTAATTATATAACATACCAGACTAATAAATTAAGAATGAAAATTCCATAATTAATTTAACCAATTTATCATATTTACCAGTGAAGATGTGTACAGGCACTAAGTTTTCGTCCCTAAAAATCAAAACAGTATAATTTTTCTACCCCCTTCAGACTGCATTTAGAGTGAGGCTTTGGAAACCCTCTTTTGAGTTTTCAAAGAGGAATAGTATTGTAAAATATTATTATTTGGATAGAAATTATTGCCATTAATTTTGATCACCCTAGTATACAGGCACAACTGAAATATTGGCAAAACTAGTTTAAAGAGAACAAAACAAGTTGAGGTCAGAATTTTAAAATTCAAACTAATTCATGATAAAAATTCAAAACAAAACAACAAAAATCAAACCCCACAAAAGTAGAAAAACTTGATATCCTAACTGAATTCCTCAATCTTCCAAGGGCCTGTATTTAAACAAATCCATCAGCACAAACCTAAGAGGGGAAAAAATAAGAACCATAGCATGTCAGTCTCATTTTCCCAGTTGATGGTCTGTAAAAAAGGCTGATCTCAACAGGAATATTAACACTTTTGTTTTCCAGCAAGTACTGTCGCATATCCATTAGGTTATCACTTGGGAAAGAGAGGGAAGGGAGAAGGGAAAATCAACAGCCCCAATTACCAAGTCAGGGATAAGTGTAGCCAGGTCCTGGGATTACAACAGCTAGATTAGCTCTACGGGTTTAGATGAAGAGGTGTCTGCAACCTGCCATTAATACTTGTCCGCAGTTACTGGCTAGGTATTCATTTAGAAGTTAGCGTTTCCCTACCCACCAAGAGCAAGTAAATCAATGTCCTTTTCTAATTCCCATTTTAATTCCTCTTCTTCCTCGCCACTTAGAATGCCTTCCCTCAGCTGTTTGATAGGAAAATGTTCTCTTTTTCCATTGGTGAAGAGATGATTTCAAAACAGAAAAATATGGAACTGCAGATCCTGAGATGAAAATACAGGGAAATTAAAAGCGAAGTGCTTTGTTACTCGAACTTCTGTTTCAATTTTTTCTGGAAGACAGCTGGCAGAATAGAGAGAACTGCTAAAATCATCAGGACAAATACTGAGTTCCAGGAAACAGCTTCTCCTGCTGTCGTAAGCTGGTAGAGTGTTGTTCCTGCTTTGATTGCTACAAAAGATGGCGGTGCAACACCTGGAAGAAAACATAAAACCAAATGATCAAGATTAAGTTATTTCAGTTTTAAGAACAATATGCTGCCTCTGTTTTGAAAGCTAATTCACGGAAGACACAGGGCAAAACACCCCTTTAAGGTTTGCTGAAAAGTGAATCGTCTTGAGCTGACAGGACAAAGCACTAACGACAGCTGGGCGACTTGGTACTGACCGCTTCCCTCAATGGGCCTCAGACAGGGAGGCTGGACTAAGTTTCTAAGATACCCTCCCCGTTAAAATTTCTCGATTCCAGGAACACTTAAGACACCTACTACATCGTACACAATATGTACGAGTCCCTTTTTCAGTCAAAAGCTATGAACAAAGATATGATGGGGTGTTGGATTTTTTTTTTATATTCATTAATAAAAATGAAAAAGTCTACTTCTTCATCAGTTTCTCTATTAGGAATCAAAACCATTTTAGCAACCTGAGCCCACTGTTAAGGTCTTCTTCTGATGTTTCATTTGGCAGGGAGGTGATCCTGTGTTTGCAAAGGTTTTGGCAACTCAGCACAAACTAAGAAAGAGCCAACCACTCACTCTAGAGAAGGACTGGATGAGAGGTGTCTATCTTTCACTTTAGAACCAGGATTGGCCAAGTTTTGAGGTTTATCATCAAGGTGTTCACCAGGGTAATTTTTTGAGGGGGGCAGTGGTCACAGCAGTGCTCAGAGACAGTCTACTAAGTAGCAAAGAAGCAAGCATTAACCACCTTGGCAAGATCCAAAAACTTGAGAAATCACTACACATTTTGTTATCTCAGTATTTAATGGGAATCTGAAAAACAGATTTGACCAGAAAGAACTAAAGTTCATCTAATATTTATTCTGCCTCTAAGCAGACTGTCCACAGATAAATTTCAAAATTGGCTAAATTTTCTTCAGAGAATGAAATTCAACCAACTTCCTTAAATGGTAAACATTTATGTCAAAGATATAATGCCAGATAAAATCAAAAGGCAAACTGCAAGACAAAAGAGGCCCAGGCTTCTTCTTAACCTTACTCTCTTCTCATGTAACTAAAGTTTTAAATTCTTATATAATCCAGTCCTCTAAGTCAGTATCCAGTAGAGGGTAGTATTCTGTAAAACATGTACAACTAAAGTCTTACCTAGAAAAGTACCAATAAAAAATACTTTTAATGGTACATTTATAACAGGAGATGTTATATTAATAAACCAGTTAGGCAGAAAAGGAGTTATTCTCAAAAATATTATGTAGTTAATGAGATGGTCTCGATGTCGTTCAACCTGTCATAGAAGAGAAAAGGATTAGAATTCAAGCAAATTCTTATCTAGGATTCCAACTTTTCTTTCAAAATAGCTCACAACGCATACACCTGCTAATCACTGATCTTATCCAGATGAAATTAACAAAACAGAAAATGAGTGGAAAAAAATATGAAAATATTCAGTGGTGGCAATGAAGGAATTGTCCCAGCATAAATTTGCATAAGATATTGAATGTAAAATAAATTCTGATTTTTTTTTTTAACAAGTAACAGAACTGGGTTTTCTCTTAGGATATGTGCTCACAATTTCTACCACAATTTTATCACTGGGGGTTCTTTCTTCCTTTTTTTTTTTTCAAGGGCAAAAACAGACCGTTAGCTTTTTAGGACAATAAACAACATACATTTATCTATAAATTCCCTGCAGTGAAGCACAAGTATTCAGGATAGTGTAACAGAAAGAGCAATGGAATGGGAGGTAAGAGACTCATCTGCTTGTCCTGAATCCACCTAAATTTACTATGGAGGCAAGGATAAATGCCTTTACCTCTTTAGGCTTCAGTTTCTTCATCTGTAAAATGTAAGAATTGAACTAAAAAATGTGTAAAGTTATTTCCAGTGATAAGATGTGTTTCAGTACACACAGTAAGGAGAAAGGAGCAAATGTGGAGGGCAAAGAGCTCCATTTTAGGTACTTAGTACTTTAAAAAAAAAAATCGTCTTATAACAGAGATCTTCATTTCCTTTGGGTAAAGGTAACCTGAAGGAGGCTGACAGAGAACAAGAAAATGATATTTATTTACATTTGAAGTTACAAGTAAAAACTGATGGGGTCCCTTTTTCCACGAGCCACTGTTTTCTCCTTGTCTCTGCCTTACCTCTAAATTCAACCCTAAACTCTTCACAATGGATAATAATCCTTTTCTCAGTTTTCATCCTTTTGACATCTCCATAATATTTAACATTGCTGAACAAAACCACAAGTATTATTAAGCTCAGTGTTCCAAGAACTGTGCTAAACATTAAGATGCAGAGGAAGGCAAAAATCGTCTGTCTTCAAGGAACTTACATTCTAATACGTGCTATAACAAGGTAAATACATATAAGATCTATACTGAATAGATGGAAGACACTCGGGGGTGGAGAGTGCAGGAAAAGGCTTCCTGGAATGGATGGCATGTTGGTAGAGTCTGGAAGAAGCCTGGGAACCAAAGAGGCTGAAGTGAAGAAGCAGAGCATTACTAATTAAAGGAGAGTCAGTGCAGAGGCACACACAGAGGAATGCAGCACACGTTCAGGGAACTGAAAGGAGACCAATGCTGCTGGAATGCAGAGCACGGGAAGAAGTGCTACGCATGAGAAGCCTGAAAAGAGAGGAACGAGCCAGGCTAGGAAGAACTTTAAATGCCACATGTGCATGAGAGGGAGGAGTCAAGGATGACAAAGACATCTGTGAGCCTGGATGATGTAAAGGACGGCGGTGTCCTCAACAGCCACGGGGAAGGTCTCCAAGAGGAGACTGAGAAGGCTTGATCAGACCGAGCGGAGAGGTATCAGGAGAAGGCCATGTCTGTCATGAAAACCCAGGAGATATCCAGAAGGTAACTAGCAGTGCGAAAGGCTGGAAAAGGCTAGCCAACCTGGAGAGAGCCATTTCACAGCTGAATGATGAGGTCAGAAGCCAGAATGCAAAAGAAGAGAGTGAGAGGAAGTGGAGGCCTTGAGTGTACACCACTTTCACAAGGAGTTTAGCCATTCAGACAGAAAAATTATAGGACAGGAGGAGGGAAACAAGGGTATATTTGCAGGAGCAGGGAAGGAGTTTCACTGGCTTAAAACTGCGCAAAGACATCTGGGATATCCTAGATAAGAAAGCAGGGAGGACAAATGGGGACAATTTGCTGGAGAAAATGGAAGGGTATGGGAATTAAGAGCGAATGTAGGAGAGTCGGGCTCTGGAAAGGAAAAGAAGACTTGAGTGAAGGAGGAAATAATGGGGGAGGATGTCTGAATATGTGAGATGAGATGAGAAGGAAAAGGGGGGAACTTTTGGAGAATAATCTCAATTTTTTCAGCCAAGTATGAAGCAAAGTCTTCTGGAGGGTGAGATGCAGTGGGAGGCTGGAGGAGAAATGAAAAGATTTCAAATAGCTGCCACAGAGAGTGGGATAGTGAATCAGTCAGAAAGGAATAGGTCTGCTCAACAGAGCTCCTTCTCTTTTTACCTAGACCTAACTGTACTTAGTTCTGCTGGGGAGCAGTCATCAAGTTCATAACATCAGAATCGTCCCCATTTCTTTGCTCTCCCTGACTCCACAAATTCAATCAATTGATGCTATTGTGGATTCTATTTCTGCATCGTCTTCCTCATGCCACTCCTTCAATCCACAAAGCCACCATGCTAGTCTGGGTTCTCATCACTTCTTATCTGGACTATCTACACTATCGCAACAGTTTCTTTGTGCTGGTCTCCCTGCCTCGTCTCTCCCCTCTCTAATACATCCTGTCATATCTGCTCAACTGATCTTCCTATTTTTTTAATTAAAAATTTTTTTAAACAAAAATCTACCTTCTCTCCCACTTACCTCCCTCTCCTCCCACTGAAAAAGAAAAACACAACCCCTGTAACAAAAATGCACAGTCCAACCAAACAAATTCCTGAAATGGCTATGTTAAAGTGGTATTCTTAAAGCACAGATCTGACCAAGTCATTCCCTTCCTGAAGAAATTTCAACATCTCACTACTGTCTACAGGATAAAATATAAGTTCCTCTGTCTGTCATTTAAGTCCTTCACACACACAAAAACCCCACGTGCACATACCTCTAGTCTTTCAAAATATAGCTCCAACCTATCTTTCCAGACTAATTTCTTCTCCTCCACTCTGTCTTCAGTAAGTTACGTTCGACTCCAACTGTTCTCCTTGTCATTTCCTGTATATGACAAGCCTACTCCCGCCCTGTCTCCCCTGCCTAGAATAATCTTGATCCTCATCTCTGCCTAGTGGAATCTCAAGCTCCCGAGAAGAATCAATTCAAGTGATATCCCTTCCACCAGAGGCCTTCCGTGATTCTCCAAGTGTCTACATTTTAAATTTTATCTGTGTATGTACTATTTCCCCCCAGTAGATTTCAGTTCCTTGAGGGAGGGCAGTTTGTTATTTCCTGTGCCTACCACTCAATAGATGGTAAGTAAATACTTAATAAATTAAAATGACTAAAGAATGAAAATACTGACATACATCATTTGCCAGATCTACTGCCAGATTCTCAAAACTTGGTCCAGGTCTGACTTGATCCTGGAAATACAGGTCTGGACTATTAGACTCAGGCTCAGAAGATTTAACCTTAACAAAACCCACGCCTAATGGGGGAAAAAAAAAGAAGCCCATCTCTAGGCAAACTGAGAGCCAACATTTGTTTGCTTTAGAGTAGGCCCAGCAAAACTGAAACTAATACAATGTGAGGCATGCGTTCAGTCCAGTATTGTCATGTTTCTTCCTGAAGGACCTCACTAAGGTCACAGCAAATCGGGGTCATGCCATCTGACCCACTTCATCTCAACTAGCACTTTCAGAGCTTGGTTAGAAGCAGTACAGGAATATGGTGATTATGGAAAAGGACTATAAGCCTTTCTACACCTTCAATTCACTGTCATTTCTTTGTTGCAGCAAACATGCTGAAGACAATGGAGGGAACATATATCAGAGATTCTTAAAAAAAAAAAAATGGACTCTACCCACACTGTCAGCAGGCAATCACACTAAATAATGAACCTGATGCTAGGATAAAGAAAATGGACCATCTTTTCTGAGAAACATCTGGTAGGTCATTCATTTAAAATAAATTAGAACCAGTTAAACACTAGCTCATCATCCAGTTTTATACTATAACTTGCTACTAGAAAGTTTTATGGGAACCTAAACAGTAGATGACAGTTTAAGTAAGATATTTTGATATTAAAGATTTAGAGTGACACCTAAAAATCCATTCTAAAAGTCCAAGTAAAAAAAAGTATTGTCCATTTATTTTCAGTGAAGGTACCTGCAAAGCACAGAAGTCTGTACACAGCAATAAGTGAACATACATAAACGTGCCTATTAAATACAAACCTCAATTTCCTACTGGGCTAGTGACATCACAAAAATTTTAGAAGTTAACAGATTAGTAATGTAGGCAATAGCAAAAGTAAAATCCCACAAAATCTGGAGTCAAATTGCATAACTCCCATAAATTGCTTGGGAGAATTAGCAATAACACTATGGAAGTTTAGTAGCAAATATACCTACAGAATTTAATCTGTAAGAGACCTCATTCTAAAAAAAAAAAAGATTTTAAAAGTGATCTGTGATCTTTACAGATGAGATTAAATGAAGTCATTTAAAAACATCACTGAAAATTTAAGTCAAAATTTGGCTTTTAATGATTATGGGAAGTAATTGCTAAAATACTGTCATCATGTAAGACATTAAATTCACTGAAATGAAATTTTTCATTTGCAGGAAATTAAACAGCTCTTTTTCTTTCAATAAACATCGAGTGGCTGCCTAAGTTCTGTAATACACTATAAGTAACTTAATTAAAAGCATATGGATAACTTTTTTTTGTATTCGGCATCACAGAATCTCAGAAAGAACCTCTTTATTTAGAAGACCTCCTACCCGAAGTATAAATTTTCCCCTCCACTGAGAAGTGGCGCATCTATTTTGAATCTCATTATCGATGCCACAGTGATAAGCAAAGATCTAAAGAAATACGACACCAACAATAAAACAGTTTACATTCCAATCAAAATTCTTAATTGTCAATTTTATTGTTTCTTTCAGACAAGCCCCATGTTATTTTAAGTAAGGATGCTCGGACGTAGTAAGGATGACACATTTAGCAATATATTTTCAAAGACATACATGGCATATAAAACAGCATCAATACAAAGGAGGTTTTTACCTGCTGTGACCATTTCACTGCCTTTTCTGTTAAATACTTGTATACCACTGGTCTCCCAACCAAATACGAAAGCATGTAACAGAAGGAGGCGCCAAGTCCAGAGCACTGAAAAGCAACAAAAAGCCATGAGCACAATTGTACTTCCTCACCTGACTGGTAAGGCCCTTTTCACTCTAAGGATTCACCTAGCCTCATTTCATGTGGTCCTTAAGATCATAAATTTAGAACTAGAAGGGACCTCAGAAATCATTCAGTCCAACCTTCTTATTTTGGAAATGGGGAGACTGAAGCCCAAAGCAGATAGGTGACTTGCCCATGGTCACACAGGTAAGTGGCAGAGCCAGGATCTAATGAAATCTGTGCTGCAGATTTAACATAAAAGAAGAGAAATCAGGTACCATTTATCTGGATCTTCTTTCTCCCCAAGGCTGCTCTTATAACAAGGCTCTATTATTGGACTCACACTTAGGATTTGATATAGGCAAGTTTATAAAAATAACTAATTTTAGCTGAGAAAAGCATTTTTCAAGAAAAAATCTCAAACTAATCAAGTCACTGATTTGCTTTACCCCAAACCACTATTCCTGAGTAGTCTTTATAGTTTCCCAAATCAAAAGCACCAGCTCCTTTCCAACAACATGTGACTCCCCAAAGATCAGCACACTCTGGGACAGACAGAGAAGGTGACAGCTAACAGAGCTGCTCTGTACTGTCTCATCAAATGGTCCAGCTTTTCCTGGAGGATTTTTATAAGCTACACAGTCATTCAGCTTTTGCTAAACCTCATGTCACAGAGTGTCCCTAGGACATCATCACATCCAACTTTAAAATCATTTCCCCACTGCTCCTTACTAAGACATATATGTGTGTGGGTGTGGGTTGGTGTTGGTATGTATACACACACCCATACAAACATACATACTTACCAAACAAACAAGGAATAAGGCTAATGGAAAGGGATAAAGAAACCCTGAGAGAATACTGAGAAATATAGACCCTGGAATAGCAAATGTTTGCAAGCTGTAAACTTAATGGTTAAGGATTAAAATATAAGTAAAATCCTCAAAAGGATAGAAATTCAACACTTCTTAGAATAATGCATACAATATGATTTACAAAACAACCCACATGAACATAAGTAACACTCAATAGGTTTGATTTCTACATACCGTCATAATTCACTTTTTTATATTAATAGAATGTCTTAACTATAAAGGTTGCTAACTACCAGTATAATTACACTAATAAAATGCCCTAGGTTAAGAAAATTTGGCATATTAATATTCCAAACCTAAAAACCATAAAAATTTGGTAGCCAATTACTTGCTTTGCTGACAGACCATTTCAAATTGAAGCACAGGAATTTGTTTCCACAAAATATACAGTTTTTACTAATAAAAAAATAGGGGTTATATTAGACAAAAACATGAAGATATTATATAAAAATTTAAATAGAATTATATTAGCTTGGGGGTAGAAAATGAAGTTAATCTCTTCCCCTCCCTCCTTAAATTAAAATTTTAAAAGTTTAAATTTTTAAAATAAAAACATAAATGGTTAAACAACATTTGTATCATAAGTTATTATACTGTATTATAATTTGTGATGGCGTTAACAAAAACAAGAGAAATTAAAAGTTTATTGACCACAGCAACTTTGAAACATCCACTAAGTTATAATTAACTGACAGTCATGTAATATCTTAAAGAATTTTACAAACATTATCCCATTTGAGCCCCACAACAATTCTGTGGGATAAGCAGTATAGGTCTTATTATCATTTTACAGACAGGGAAACTAAATCTCACAGGATCTTATGTCTAGAGTTGGAAAAACCTCAGAAGTCATTTAACTCAACCCTCTCATCTTACAGACGAGCACACAGAGGCCCAAAGAGTGTAAGTGACTTGCCCAAGGAGCTTAAGAAACTTACCCAAGTCACATAGTTAAGTGTCAGAAGCAAATTTTTGGCCTAGGTCTTCCTGAGTTCAAGCCCAGCACTCTGTCCACTAAAGTTGCAATATAAAGGAAATTACAGGTCCTTGAAGTACAACAGAATACTAATGGAAGGGAGTGTTTGACGGAGCTGTCAATAACTACACCTTCCCCAGATATGGGGGAACAAACTCAAATCGATTCCTCAAAAAGGTTACAAACGTTAAAGGTTGAACATTCCCTGCTTAAATTTAAATAAATAAAAAAAAATAAGTATTATACTTTACAAAGGACAATTAATTTCACAGGAAAGATGTTACAATTTGTCTCAAGCAAAAGATATGAGAGGTTTTGCAATGCTGTTGTGAGATCTAATGTATCAATTACGCTTATTAAATGAGATTGTCGATGTTATGAAGAGCATGCTGTCATCTTAATAAAAGTATAAAAGTCTCTCTCTTGCTCCCAGTAAATACTAAACCTCCTAACAGTGAACTAATTAGTCCAAAAGGTCCCACAGAGCAAGAGTTCAATCCTATACAGTGCATATATCTTGGTTGTCAATTAGTCTTATAACTGGGTTGGAGAAAAAAGGAAAACCTACCATCATCCAAGCCCTGTTCATTATTTCTATCCACATTTAGTAATGCTAACCATCACTCTTTCTTAAGCTGTCTGCTTTGTTAAGCTCCACCAATTGGGGAACAAAAGTATAATTTTCTGCAAACAAAAACTGTATAAATATCTGACAAAGGTCAAAAGAAATGGAGGACACTGCTTGGTACACTGATTTCAGGGTATTATATTTGTAACCTATAAGTTGTAAATTAGAGGAATGTCTTAATTTATATGGCTAATTTAATTAGATTGAATAAAAACTAAATACTCTCATCATCCTCCATGCATATGAGCTTCTCTGATGCTACTAGCCTCAAGGTCTATCAGTAAAAAAGTGGAATGACGAGACATGGTATACAACAATACTCACCACTACATATTTTATAAAATAAAGGAATAAGTTGGTCCTATGTATAAATATTAGATATTGCTGAGATTTTCAATTAGGGGAATGTTCATTGATGCTGCTAATTTAAAAGAAACATAACAAGGTACTTATAAGAAGCAACAAGGTGTATTAAAACAGCACAGCTCTGAGTCAATCAATTATTGTCCTCATCCCAGTTCAGCCACTAACTAGCTGTGTGACTGTAGAGCGGACAAATCATCTCACAGCACAGAATCTATTTCTTCATAGATAAAAGGAGGGGGTTTGAATTTGATGAACTCAGTGTTCTCTGCCAGTCCTACCACTAGTGACACTGGATTCCTGAAGGGTATGCCAACGAAGAACATGTTCTAACAGAGTCTAGAAAAGCTTCAAATACAGTTCTCACAAAAGAGGAGGCTTGTTTTCTGAGGACTGGCTTACTTAGCAAGGGCAGAAAGGTCCATCACCAGGAGTCTGGCCACTTGGTAACAAATTCCTTGAGAGCAACCCATGAGACAAAAGGTAAATAAATGTCCCTCAGTCCTGTTCAATTCCCTTCCCTCCCTACATCCACTTCTAACGTGACGACGGAAGAAATTAAGAAGAGAACAGAGAGGATGCTAAGAATCCCATAATTGTTAGAAAACCTGTAAACATTAACTTGATTATTGTTGCTTTAAATCTAAGATCTTTTGTCCCACAGGTAATTAATGGACATCCGATTGAAGGAACTGAATGAGAATGAAGAGAGAATTTCTACCAAGAATTCAGAAAGAGGTGACACAATCAAGGTTTCTAAAGAAGATAACCAAAAGGAAAAAAAACCTAAACCCTTATTATCATCACAAAAAAAGTGACACATAACATCAGTCACTACAGATCTCTATGGCTATTTTCTCATCTACACAAATGTTTGATGAGAATAACCTACATAAACTAAGGTCATCCTTGATGAGAATATTAGAAGAACATGAAAAGGTACAAAGCAACATTCAATAGCAAATGACATCAACCATCTGATTAAAAGACAGAAGAATTCCTGAATCCAACTGTGCTTACTGTTTGTTGAATAAAAAAAAAAAGCACTTCATTCATTAGAGCAAAATACTCCCTCTTAAATGTCCTTTCTCCATCAAGGTGTCTCCCATTTACGTATTAAAAATATTCAAAATTCCTTGAAAGACATAAGAGAATCTTATTTAAAAACCTTCTGATCAGTAGCATCAGGCAAAACATAAACCAGTGACATTGGCTCACCAAAGGCGCTTACTGCTCTCATGGAGGAGACTGTATAAAAGTCTAAGCAAAGTGGGACCCTGAGTAAAGTGGTGAAAGCCTTCAGATGCTCCACCAAGTTGCCCCCCTTCTCCCACTGGTGAATTCCTTCTGGAGGGTCTCCATCTTGGGGACAGACCCAGGCCAGTCATGCTTCATTTTGACTCCCTACTATCCCTTTCCAGCTCCTTGTTATGTGTTATCTTCTTCCCCCATTAGAATATAAGCTCTATGAGGGCAGTGACTGTCTTACTTTTTGCTTATACTCTGTATCTTCAGAACTCAACACAATGTCTGGAACACACTAAGTGCCTAATAATAAATTCTTGATGCCTTATCTTTGAAAATGACATACAGACATACATTAAGTCCCGGAACACTGTGGAGTCAGGTCCTAAATGAGATCCATAATCTTTTGTGGTATAAAGTTGAATGTACAATCTGTGATATGTGTCAACACACAAAATAGATGCATGCTTGTGTGCGTACTTATGTGTATATGTGTTTATACTTTGGAAAGACAGAACAAATGGTCAATGAGTTGGACCTTAAGTCAAACAAGAAGAGCAGGCAGTATTACGTTTGAAAAATCACAAAAGTTCTTTCAACAAACCCCAAGTTTCTCCCTGACACAAAGATCTATTTTTTTTTACAACACTGATAATACTCTGATGGTGGTGTACGGGAGCAAGAATCTCTGAAGAAATGAAATGAGGACCATCCAAAGGCAACAGAAAGGCACATGGTACGACTGAGCTAGCTGCAACATACTCTGAATAAGGAATCATGAAGGATAAGCTGAGTTAAGGATGCCAAACATTTGAGCAAAAGAGAAGATGTTACAATCTTCATCGCCGGAGGGAACCCCCACATTGATGCATCTAGGACACAGCATGGTGAAATAGAGGAAGTCTTGTTTCTAACACAAACTGGCTACGTAACTATGAACAAGTCATTTAATTGCCCCAGGCAATTCGGGAGAAGCCAATCTGCATCTCTGAGGGAAGTTTCATACTAGGAGTTTCCCAAACCAATAAAATCACAGGTCCACATCCAGATATATAGAGAGACAGAGATAGAGACAGACGGAGAGAAAAAGATACACATATGTGTGTATACACGTGTATGTATATATATATATTATTTCAATGACCTGTGACTTCCATGATGTCATAGATAATTGGTATCAGTGAATACATCCTCCACTGATTCAGATCACAGTCCCCCTAACACCTTAGGATACTGCTTTAGGATGTGGTTCTTGTGGTTGGTCCAAACCAAGCTATGCCAGCCCTCAAACAAGCAACATATATTGTATTGAGAGACCCGACCTTTCCAAGTTGCAATCCTTGCACACCTGAGAGTTTTTACAAACTGCAATAGACAGAACATTTGTCCCCCTGCCACCGGCCTGGTGGTGAGCCTTTCTACATATAGCTTGGTTGGTCCTCAGATGACACACAATCTGTCACTGCGCTGACACTCAAAAGCCTGCTCAGCTCTCAGCAGGCCCTGCTAGAGCTATGATCCAGAGGCATAGCTCTCTATGGCCCTGAGTCACCTCCACACCATAACCAGGCATCTATGCAAGGCTGCTGGAGTTGAATAAACTGAAATACAAAATATATACAACAATAATAAAAATGCTGGTGATTTGCAGAAGAAACAGAAAAAGGGAACAATAGCCCAAGAGACTATAAAATATAGGACATGACTGACGGAACAAGGCAGAAGTATAAAAAGTATTACAGTGAATAACATTTTATAAATTACTAATAAAGAAATGATGAAATAATTATCATCACTTTTGATATTAAGAAGTTAATCTTTCATTTATCAAGAAGAGTGAGGAAAGATTAAATTAGAAAAAAAAAAAGGACACAGAATTTAAAGAACTAAAAGCTCCAAGTTAATTTGGAAATTGGGTAAATGGAAAATAAATGATAGGATAAGAAATATAATTACAAATGTCACTTTCACAATTAACAAAAATTGTCCTTGTTAAACAGAATACTAAAAGAAACTTTTTCATTACCCACATACAGCTAGAAGATGTTTTTCATATAAAAGGATACAAAATATATGTAGCAAAATAAGCTACAAGTACTTGTACATAAAAGGTGTCCTTGTATTTGGATAAAACTTTTCCTAGTGCCTTGGCATCATCCATATCTCTGGGAACCTTCATGTTTGCTCTTTCTTCCCTGAAGAAATAAAACAAAGTTAATATTTTTTTAAAATTTAGTTCAGAAAAAATTACTAAATTGTGTTTTTTTAAATGATGTCAAAAAATAAAGTGGTAAACATGAAGTCTTCTCCAAAATTAGTCAATGCTTTCTTGCACTCTGGCCATTAGCCTCATCTTTTTTCCTAGCCTAACTCTGGATTCTGCTGTCCCAGGGTTATCAGCTCTGAGAGATGAACTGTGACTTCCCTTGCTCAGACTCAGGGCTCCCATGCCATTTCCACCACCTCATCAGGCCAATGAATGCATATCACACTGCCTTCTAGTTCCCCTCTATGAATTATCTTCCCCCATTAAAATATATAAGTTCCTTGAACCAAGGCCTATCTTGCTTTCTTGTGCCTGTATCCTCAGGGCTTGGCACGGTTCCTGGTACATTATAAGTGCTAAATAAATTCTTTACCTTTTCTTAGTCTGTCTCTTTTTTTCTTATCTTGTTCTACCTTGGATCAAATATATATGTTCAATTATAAAACTCTTGCAGACAGGGACCACACATTGATTTTTATCTCTGTATCCCTTGGTGGAGCAGAGCTGCTTGTCCATGGGAAGCACTTAGTAGTCTGTTCAACCCATCTACAAGCATTTGGTTTTTGTTTTTTTTTTTAACTAAGTAACAGAGGCCATTCTCTGCCTCACTTCTTACCAAGCCTTAATCATTGAATGCCTCAAAGTGAGACCTGTTAAAGACCTTAACTTAAAAAGGCCAAGGTCTTCCACTGCATCCTGGGTCATCTGCAGTTGTCCTGTCTATATCTGGCCATTGGACCCAGATGGCCCTGGAGGAGAAAGCGAGGCGGTAACTTTGCACAGCCCTGCCTCACTTAAATCCAATTCACTTTCGCTTCTCAGCATCACCCCTCTCTTGGCATGGTCCCCTTTGAAAATAAAGAACAAACAACAACAAATCCCTCCAGGGAACCAGGCACTTCAACTACAAAGAAAGATAGGAAACTGTCATCTTAAAAAGCTTACATTCCATAGGTGGAAGGCAAAAGCACAAAGCTGCTGGCCTAAGTGTGTTCATTTAGCCAAAGACCAAATCCAAATTCACAACCACCAAAATTCAACAGTCCACAGAGTTCCTTCTGACACTGAATTTCATAAGCCATAAAGGAACTGTGCTTATTGAGCAATATTGGGAGGATTCCAAATGAGTGGGTAAACACTGTAAAACCAATATTTAGAGAAAATTAAAATTACGTAAAAGTAGGGAAATACCAGGAATAATATAACTGCACATAAAACACACAACACTTTGAAAAACCTTCCTAATCTTAAAAGTATGTCTCTAGATTTATTTTAAAATTAAATACATGGCATTTTAAATAATCCATAGTTCAACATCAAAGTTGATATATATCTTGGCTGAAAATAAAAATAAGTTTAAACATATTTCTCATCAATTATTCCATTTTTAAAAAATCAATATAATCACCTTGTTTTGAACACAACTAGATTCAAGGCAATTTCTTCCTTAAGAAAGAAAGCCTGAAGTATTATTAGCTAAATCTTTACATTTGTAATAAATTATAATCCTGTTGGAGAAATGCTTTGATACTTAACTGTCACTATGCAAGAAGTACAAGAGGCTAATATAAATACCATAAAGACTCAGGGTCCAAAATGGTGCTTTGCAGACAGAAGACACTAATAAACATTACTGAATTATTAAGTTCTAAGGAAAACAGAAATCGCTACCTATATTTTTTTTGCTTTTTTAAATTTTATTTTCATTTCTGAATTCTATTTCAACTCCTCCTCCATTCTCCCCATCCCTACTGAGAAAACAAGAAAAACGAAACCTTTTACAAGCCTATATAGTCAAGCAAAACAAATTCCTGCATTGGCCATGTCCAAAAACACAAACAAAAGACAACAAAAACCGAAACTCAGCCTCAACCTGCACTCTGAATCCACCACCTCTCTATTTGGAGGTAGGGAGTTTGTGTCTTGAGTCTTTTGTTTGTCCTTACAGTATCATTGTTATTTTAGAAATTATTTTCTTGGTTCTGCTCACTTTACTTTGCAGCAATTCATAAAGTCTTTTCAAGTCTTTCTGAAACCATACTCTGCTTCATTTCTTACACTACAATAGTATTCCATCATATTCACACACTAAAAGTTGTTCAGCCATTCCCCAATTGATGGGCATCCCCTCAGTTTCTGATTCTTTGCCATCATGAAAAGAACTGCTACAAATATTTGTGTACATATGGGTGCTTTTCCTACCTCTTTTATCTCTAGTAGCAGCAGAGCTGGGTCAAAGGACACATATGTACGGATTAATATCATTTTGGGCACAGTTCCAAATTGCTTTCTAAAAGGACTGGCCCAGTTCACAGTTCTACCTGCAGTGTACTAATGTATCCATTTTTCCACAGCCCCTCCAACATCTGTCATTTATTTGTCACTTTCCTTTTCTATCATCTTTACCAATTTGATGGATGCAAGGTGGTACCTCAAAATTGCTTTAATTTGCATTTCTCTAATTATTAGCAATTTAAACATTTTTTTCATGTTTTGGTTTTTTTTTTTTGGCTAGGCAGCTGGGGTTAAGCGACTTGCCCAGGATCACACAACTAGTAAGTACCAAGTGTCTTGAGGCCGGATTTGAACTCAGGATCTCCTGACTCCAGGGCTGGTGAGTTATCCACTGTGCCACCCAGCTGCCCCTTCATGATTATTGACAGCTTGTATTTCTTCTTCTGAAAACAATTTATTCATATCCTTTTACCATTTGTCAACTGGGGAATCAGCCTATATCTTTATATATATGACATTTTAAAATTTTCATTTTCATTTGATAGGATGAGAAACATAGGAAACTATCATCTACATCTCATCCCTCCCCCTCCTAGTCTCATTCCATGGTGGTTCCTTCTACCATACAAACTTACTGTAGGCAGTGTGCTACACTAGAAAAAGCAATGCCTTTCCATTCACAGAATCTAGGTTTGAATCTCCGCTCTTCCACTTATTATCTTTGGCAAAATACCTAAACTCTCTGGGCCTTAATTTTGTCATCTATAAAATGAGGAGGTTAAATCAGATGTTAAAGTCTCTTCTAGCTCTAAAATCAATTATCCTTGTAACAGGAAATGATCTTATATTAATTCAAGGTATCAACAATTAAAAACAGTTTTTACTCTTTGCCTTCTCAATGCATTTTAAGGAAGAAATCAAAGCCACATACTGAAGAACTAAAGTTCAAACTGTATAATTTCAAAGAGTAGCTGGTGAGGATGGGAAAATTTAAATTACAAGCAATTATTTACTCCAAGGACATACAGGGCTTATTCTGGTTGAGTAAATATAAAACAAAACTATTTTTAAATAGTGGTAATTTACGTAACTATACAATGGTAATCATACCTTATAGCAACAGAGATAGTGGCCTAGAAGGTCTCCCAGAGGCCATCAAACCTAATCCAAAACAGATAAGTATTTATCTACAACAGAGATGTCAAAAATGTAGCCCACTGCGTGTGACCCACAACACTCCTGAATGTGGCCTGAATCAGATTAAAATGTAATTGGGAGATATTTAACAAAATAAATTAAAATAAAATAGATAATATTAATATGTGGTTTTCTAAGTCAATACGTGGCCCAGTGGCCCCCATTTCTATTTAAGTCTGATACAACTCATCTACAATATCCCCCCAACAGATGGCTGTCCAGCCTCTGTTTGAATCCATCCAATAAGGGGGAATCTGCCTGTGACACTTCTGGCTAGTTATAAATATTAATAAACTTTTATTTCTATCGAAACTGCGTATGTCCTTAAGGGCCAAGCAGAAGAAATATAAGCCCTCTTCCACATGATAATCTTTACATACTTGAAGGTAGTTCTATTTCCCTCCAAGTCTACTCTTCTCCGGGACAGATACTCCCAGTTCTTCCAATAATCATTATGTAGCATGCTTTCTAGGCCTTTCATCATTCTTGCCACTGTTCTCTAGACATACTTAAGCTTTCTACCAGGAATGCAGAAATGAATTCCCCCAGCCATTCTACCTTCCCTTTCTTTTGGGAGCCATAGTGTACTGCTATCATGCCCCTAGAATGAAGGACTGATTCTAGCACTGGCAGACCTAAAGCCACACCTGAGTTACTACCACTAAGCCACAGCAGCTGAGGCCAAAGGTGATAGCAACAGCAGGCACTGAACTTCATCTACAAGTGGCAATGGATGAAGTCATCTTCTTCAAGGAGATGCTGAGTGATGTTCTCTTGCTGGTAGGTAGGAGGATAAGCTCACAGCACATCTTACAATCTTGCCATCCACTTCACGGCTCTGTTTTCCAGATCGCCACCTACTCACCCAGGTACTGTTCTCTACCTCAACCCCATATCCTCCAGCCTACGGGGCAATGACAGGCTGATATGTGTGTGTGTGTGTGTGTGTGTGTGTGTGTGTATACATATATATGTATACACACATATGTAGGTGTGTGTTTGTACACATATACACACGTGTATATGTATGTATATATGTATATATACACACACACATATTTTCCCTTTCATTCATTCTCCTCTATGAAAGAAGTTCACTTATACTTTGCAGTGACATGAGAATTATGTGGTATTCACTACATGCAGAAACATAAAAATAACATTCCCTGCAAGTCATAACAAAATTATTCGTGCTTAAACCAAGCTCTACAGTCACTTGTTTTCCTTCTTTATCCTTTTTGTCTAACTACTAACTGTCACAGATCTACCTCATTTTACCTTGCTTGTGATCTCTAGAACCTTTCCTCAACTTCTCTTTACTCTACACTCTTCAACCTTATTCATAGCAGAGCAATTGGTTAATAGCATATTTCACCCTCCGACCTTGTTATTAGAGACTAGGTCTTTCAAGGTGAATTTCATTATGGAAACTACTCATTGATGAAATTTAGGGCACACTCCTCCTCTAAAAAACAAGGATGGGTCAGAGAGCCAAAGAAAAAGGACTGAGTGCAACAGCATGTCTCTCTAGGAAACATAGATATTGTGGGAGAGAGAAGGCAAGTTTTTTTTTTCACATTTTACAGATGAAGAAAAGAAAAAGTCATAAAAGTTAAATGACTTGACTATGGTCACAAAGGTACATAAAAAACAAACAAACAAACCCAGCTTTATGACTCCAGATCTATTATTCTTTCTCCTCTGGCTCAGGGGCATAGGTGGAAAGAAAACCTAATTTTCCTGGTGGGGGCAGATCTCGGAAGAAAAGAGCAATGTAGCACACAAGTTGTAGAACCTGAAACACCATTTTTGTGACATCCTTAATCTCATTTTGAGAAGCATGGTGCAAAACCAATTTTGATATTTTTGTATATTTATGTGCCTCAATTTCTGATGGAAAAATTCAGTTTCTCTTTCAGATACTTACTCACTAAGTTGAGGAAAATTCTTATATACCAAAAACATAACAGAAGCAGCAGACAGGAAAATGGACACCAGTATAAGAAGAGACATCCGTGCTGATCCAGCTTCTGCATTAGCTTTTACTGAAAGAAAAATAAAATTAAAATTAAGAAATAAAGAAGGACAAGACATTATTTATAGCAGTAAAGTTATTTTCAGCCAGGAAAGCATTTCTCTGAACTCCTATTGGAAACTATTAAAATCTCTTTTCTAAAACATTTTCAGTGAAATATAATATTTTAAAACACTATACCTTGTAAAGATTAACAATTTTACACTGTCTTTTGGCAAATAACCAATTTAGGATGCAACAGACAGGAAAGAAAGAATAACATAATTTGTACTGGGTAATAAGAATTGGTGAACAAGCACAGTAAGAGCAGACTCAACATAAAACCAACAAGGAATGTCAAAAAACAGGAATAAAGGATATCATCATAGATTACATGACAAAAAGATGCGCTGATAATGTGTCAAGAGATGGGGATACCAAATGAACAGCCAGAGTGCTCCAATGGTTTCTTCAAAGTATTGGGAAAAATTAATTAAGGCCTCCAGAAAGTCAGGTGGATGAAGTGTTGAACTTTTGAGGAGAACAGCTGTTGCACAGGATGGTCAGGCATCCACTGTTTGGAGGGGACTCCCAAGTCAATGAGTTCACAAATCCATTTGAGTATTTGTGGATAAGCAAGAGAAGGAAAATGAAATTACTTATCATTGCTAAAGTAAGTCTGCTGACACATGAAAGACAGACCAATCTTGATCTGTGGGGTCAGAAGGACCTACTGACTCCAAATGGGAAAAAGCACTGACTCTAGAGTTAAAAGAACTTAGATCTGTGCTCAAAAAGCTACTAAATCATACCCTTTGAACCACTGATACCACTACTAGGCCTGCCTACATCTCAAAGAAATCAGGGCAAAGAATACAAAGATGAAAAAAAAAAAAAGAATCTAAGAAATGAGAGAATTCATTCCAGGCATGGGGAATTATTGGGGAAGCGAAAGAGGTTAAAACTTGTGATTTCATCAATAGGTAATTCCTAGTGTAGAAGCTCCCTACCCTGAGAACTTAACTCATCTGTCATCAATAGTCTTAAAGAGCTGCCTGGGAAATGGAGAGGTTAAATGATTTGTGCACAGTCACAAAAAATGTCAGAGGCAGGACTTGAAGTAAGGTATGTGTTCTACCAGGTGAGAATACTTGGGTGAGTGAAGGAGGAGAGAAACAACTAATCCTTTCTACCACAGAATTCCTAGACGATATTCAAACAGACAACATTCAAAAAAAGAGAAACAGGAAGGAGAGCCAAGATGTCAGAGTATAGGCAGCAGTCCAGCTGAACTCCCCTAACATTACCCTCCAAACAATCTTGAAACAAATTTTGGAGCAGCAGAGCCAACAAAAGGTCTGTGTGAGACATTTCTGCAGCATAAAGCAACTAAGGAGGTCAACAGGAGAAGTATGAGATGGGAAAGGGGAATTTGGAGGTGCACCAGCACCAGCTGCGGGAACTCTCAGCCTAGAGGTGGTAAGAGGGTCGAACAACTGGTCAGAGAGATTACAGGCGACTCTGCCGGCACTGTGTGCAGCTGGTACCGACTGGCAACTCTACTGCCAACACATAGTTCTGGGTCAAAGTTGCAGGGTGAAGAAGAGTACTTGTGATTGGTCACAAGGGAGCAGGAGGCCTGGTCACATATACAAAGCAAAGAGAAGCACTATCACTTGTGGTCTCAGGAGAGCAGGGGCCCTGATCACAATTCCAGGGCCAGGAGGAGTGGAAACACTTGCTGCAGGAGAGCAATAGACACTTCCTGGTAAAGACTAGAGCCCAGACTAGGAGAGTAGTGAGCACGTCTCTTCCAGGATCATATCACACTGGAAGCATTGAAAACTTGCAGACTCCTAGAACTAGCTCTGAAAACAGCAGCACAAGAAAGTCAGTAACTTGAGACAAAGCACTGCCATCCTCAGGTAAGCAGAGTACAACTTTAACATAAAGTTCAAAGTCAAGAAATAAACTGGAAAAATGAGCAAAAAAATAATTTGACTATAAAAAGCTACTAGGGTGGCAGGGAAGACCAAGACACAAACTAAGAAGAAAACAGCAATGTGAAAACAGCTACAACCAAAGCCTTAAAGAAAAATGCCAGTTGGCCCCAAGGCCAACAAGAATTCCTTGGTGAGTTGAATAAAGAGCTAATAGTGATAGGAATAGGAATAACTGGGAAGAAATAAAAGTAATGCAAGAAAACTATGAAAAGATAATTAACAGCTTGGTAAAAGCATAAAAAATGGGGCAGCTACGTGGCGCAATGGATACAGCACCGGCCCTAAAGTCGAGGAAGACCTGAGTTCAAATTCGGCCTCAGACAAAACACTTTACACTTACTAGCTGTGTGACCCTGTGCAAGTCACTTAACCCCAATTGCCAAAAAAAAAAAAAGCATAAAAAATACTGAAGAAAATCATATATTAAAAAACAGAATTAAGGGGCAGCTAGGTGGCACAATGGATAGAGCACTAGTCCTGGAGTCAGGAGAACCTGAGTTCAAATCTGGCCTCAGACACATGATACTCACTAGCTATGTGACCCTGGGCAAATCACTTAACTCTGACTGCCTCGCAAAGAAAAAAAAAAAAGGCAGAATTGGCCAAATAAAAAGAGGTACAAAATCTCACTTTTTACACAAATAAAGTCAGATCTAAATAACTGGAAAAACATCAGTTGCTCATGGGTAGGCCAAGCTAATATGATAAAAATGACAATTCTACCTAAGCTAATTTACTCATTCAGCGCCATTGCAATCAAACTACCAAAAAATTATTTTATAGAGCTAGAAAAAATAATAGCAAGATTATATGGAATAACAAAAGGTCCATAATATCAAGGGAACTAATGAAAAGAAATGCAGGGGAAGGTGGCTTAGCCATTCCAGATCTTAAATTGTATTATAAAGCAGCAATCATCAAAACTACTTGGTAATGGCTAAGAAATAGAGTGGTGGATCAGTGGAATAGGTCAGGTAGGCAAAACACAGTAGTCAATGACTATAGTAATCTAGTATTTGATAATCCCAAAGACCCCAGCTTCTGGGATAAGAACTCACTATTTGACAAAAACTGCTGGGAAAACTGGAAAAGAGTATGGCAGAAACTAGCCATAGACCAAAATCTCACACCAAAATCTCACACCATATACCAAAATATAGTCAAAATGGGTTCATGATTTAGATATAAAGGCTAATACTATAAGCAAACTGGGAGAGCAAGGAATAGTTTACCTATCAGATTTATGGAGAACAGAAGAATTCATGACCAAACAGGAGATAGAAAACATCTCAAAATGCAAAATGGATAATTTTGATTACATTAAATTGAAAAGTTTTTGCACAAAGCCAATGCAACCAAGATTAGAAGGAAAGCAGAAAACTGGGAAATAATTTTTACAACCAGTGTCTCTGATAAGGGTCTCATTTCTAAAATATATAGAGAATTAAGTCAAATTTATAAGAATACAACTCATTCCCCAATTGATAAATGGTCAAAGGATACGAATAGGCAGTTTTCAGAGGAAGAAATTAAAGCCATCTATAGTCATGAAAAAATGCTGTAAATCACTATTGATTAGAGAAATGCAAATCAAAACGACTCTGAGGTAACACATCACACCTATCAGATTGGCCAACATGACAAAACAGGAAAATGATAAATGTTGAAGAAGATGTGGGAAAATTGGAACACTAATGCATTGTTGGTGGAGTTGTGAAATGATCCAACCATTTTGGAGAGCCATCTGGAACTATGCCCAAAGGGCTATCAAAATGTGCATACCCTTTGACCCAGCAATAGCACTTCTAGGGCTATATCCCAAAGAGATCACACAAATGGGAAAAGGACCTACATGTACAAAAATATTTATAGCAGCTCTTTTTATGGTGGCAAAGAATTGGAAATTGAGAGGATGCCCATCAACTGGGGAATGGCTGAGCAAGTTGTGGTATATGAATGTGATGGAATACTATTGTGCTATGAGAAATGATGAACAGGCTGACTTCAGAAAAACCTGGAAAGACTTGTATGGCCTGATGCTGAGTGAAGTGAGCAGAACCAAGAGAACGTTGTACACGATAACAGCCATGTTGTGTGATGACTAATATTGATCAAACTTAACCCATCCTGGCAATACAAGGATCTAAGACATCTCCAGAGGCCTTGTGATGGAAAATGCTATCCATACCCAAAGAAAGAACTATGGAAGCCGAACTGTTATTTTTTTTTCTCTTCTGTTGAGTTTTGTTTCCTCTTTCTGATGGTTCCTCCTACTGATTTTAATTTCTACTTACAACATCACTAATGTGAATATGTTTAATATGAACGTAAATGTACAGCCTATATCAGAGTGTGCGCCGTCTTGGGGAGGGTGGTGGGAAGGAAGGGGAAGAAAAATTTTAAACTCAAAAGCATATGGAAGTGATTACTGATAAATCAAAAAAAATTTAATAAAAAAAAATGTGCATACCTTTTGACTCAGCAATAGCACTTCTAGGGCTGTATCTCAAAGAGATGGGAAAATGGGAAAAGGACCCACGTGTACAAAAATATTTGTAGCAGCTCTTTTTGTGGTGGCAAAGAATTGGAAATTGAGAGGATGCCCATCAATTGGGGAATGGCTGAACAAGTTGTGATATATGAATGTAACGGAATACTATTGTGCAATAAGAAATGATGAGCAGGCAGACTTCAGAAAAACCTGGAAAGACTTGTATGGACTAATGCTGAGTGAAGTGAGCAGAACCAGGAGAATGTTGTACACAGTAATAACCACGTTTGTGCAATGACTAAGATTGATAGACTAACCCTTCTCAGCAATGCATGGATCTAAGACATCTCCAAAGGTGTCATGATGGAAAATTCTATCCACATCCAAAGAAAGAACTATGGAGTTTGAATGCAGATCGAAGCATACTATTTGCTATTTTTTTTCTTTTTTGTTTTCTTTTTTTGTGGTTCCTATTGGTTCTAATGCTTCCTTACAACATCACTAATGTGAAAATATGTTTAATAGCAATGTATATGT